AAATTGGCTTCCACAATCAATCACAAACGTTTATTAGGACATGAAATCCAGTGGAAAATATTAACTGACCAATCATAAGTGTTTAATATCACATAAAACTTTTTACAGAATACGAAGTCCCGATCAAGCAAGAGAGTGAGGATCCGAAGCCCAAAAAACGCGCCGCCAAAGCCTCAACATCGCGTGCCAAAAAACCCAAAACAGAAGACGGGGAGACTACAAAACGTAAGTCCTTAGTCTTTTTATTAGTGGTCATGGGGTGTGTTTATGCGAATTTAGGGATTTTCAGGTGATGCTACAACCTGGACGATGACGTATGGCCATGGTTAAATTTTATAGCTTATTATAAAGAATTATCGATAGCTAAGCGTGTACCACCCTCATCTGAATATAGACTTTGGTGAGAGAAAAAAATTAAAAAAAATTAATACATTTTGAGCTGTATCAGTCGACAATGCGGTTGAAGGTAAATAAAAGCATATGCAGGTATTTTACGTTATTAAGAAAGGACGCGTTTCGCTTTCATAGTAAAGTAGATATTGTGGCCATACTATACTTCGATTTTAATAGAGTGATTTTATCGGTATCATCGTCTATTAAATTTATGGGTGGGTGTCACACTTATTGCAGCAGAAACGGCTTAAGTCGGTCACAAAAAGCTTCATGTTCAAGCAATACATCGAATATGTAACCAGAAATGGAGACGAAATAAGGGTCCCCACCCTGGCAACTCATCAGGCAAATGGGCCTTATGTCGCTTTTAAATATCAACTCTCACTCGAAATCACAAATTAGAAAGCTGAAATAGTACAGCGCCAACACTGACCTGTTTGTACGTCCCCGAATATTCCAAAAATATTCTGTATTTATTGGAATAAACATAATATCTCTAACAATTGTTCCATTCGGTGGTGATGGAGAAACAGCAAAACATCTAATTACAAAACAAACGGCACCACATTTCATCGGTAATTAAATATGTAAATATGTAATTTTTCAATTTTCGTCCGTAATGGCAAAGCTCAAGTTAAACTGGTCGCATTGAAGTGTAACAACTGACGACACCCGTCAATTGTTTCGAATTCGGGCTGGCCAATCGGAGCGCAGTTGTCACCGTAATGTTGTGGCAGAATAGTTTTCAAACGAATTAAAAGACATTTCGTCTCCATTTCTGGTTATGTACTAGATGCCATGCAATAAAAGTTTTTTTTCCGCTCACATAAAGCTTTTTTTAATCGGCTTAATGCGATTCCTTGTAAATAAGTCTCGTGATTCCCTATAGGGATCTGATTTATTACCTGACACCCTTTGGGGGCATTTTTAGTAAACATAATAATCGTGAAAAAGGAATCAACTTTTTTTATTCCAATGTATGAAATAGCTCCAGTTAAATAAATGATTGGACGGAGTATAGTCGAGATCGACTGTTTACGGCACTAACTGCAAATATGCCTTCAATCTGTTAGCAGCCTTAGATAAAGGCGATCGTCTGATTTCGGCTGTCTAGTGCATCGTCTGTGTTATCTGTATGACATTTTGTCGCGCTCTAAAAATCCGAAGGAAGGAAGGATTATGGCCGGTAATATTTTTCCACAGTTCGATGTGTATGCGGCCTGACTTCCACAGTACAACAATTTTTTTGATATCTCGGCAATTTTCGTGTTTCCATCAGTTGGCCTTTTCAACTGAGTGCAAATCGAACGCACCGGACTTGGATGGATATAGAGTAGCTACTATTATTTTTTTTTTATGTATTTTCGTTACAAGCCTACCGTTTAATTAAGTCGATTCCTGAAGTAGCTTCGCGATGGGGGAGGACAGTTTACAACAGTCAACGTCGCGCTGCACATGGGATAATTTCAACAAGATTTTTCTGACTATACAGGGTGTCCCAAAACTCAACGTCAAGCGGTCACTGGGCGAGAGGCCAGGTTATATCAGTTCTGGTAAAAAACAAAATCCATGTCACTTAGTTAAGTGATAATAGGCATTTTTTTGAAAATGTTGAAAATCGATACCCTAGACCACATGTTTAGGTACTGTCATCACAAAATTTCAAATTTTGGAGTGATTTTTTTTAACGTCATCATAAATAACCATGCTATTTATTGCAGTCACAAATCAAACAATAAACGTTATGAGTTTAGTAAAAAAAATAAGTTTCATTGAGTCGTAGCTTAAAAAAAATATGTCAGCTAGCTTTGACACTTCATATTTAAAATAAATGTACTACACTACCCTGGGCAAGTTATTTGAAAAGATGGCACATATAATTAAGATTTCAAAATGGTACAATACTTGCCACTCCTCATTCCATAAAAAATATTATAACTTTTGGGACACCCTGTATATATTCAATAACAAGTTGATGGAAAAAAGTGCCTACCAAATTAGTCAATTGTTGTTATGTAAGCGGCAATAAAAAACTATTTCATTGATAATTGAAATAAAAAGAAAAGCCATTTTTTCAATCGACTTGTTGTTGAATATCGTCAGAAAAAATCATGTTGAAATTATTACGTGTGCAGCGCGACATCACTGTTACGTAAACTGTCACCCCTCCTGCACCGCGCAGCTACCTCAGGAACCGACTCAGTTAAGCGGTAGGCCTGTAACTTGCTCTGTATATTTAAATGTAAGTTAAACAACACGTAGTTTTGAATTCGAGTTTTTATAGATGATAAATCTTATTGACTCTTATTGAATCTTATTGATAGATCTTAATGACCAAACATGGAAATTTCAGTTTAGGTTTTTCATACTGACCATGGCCTTGAAGGGTGTCGGGTATTAAATAACGACTTTTAAATGCATATGTGCAACACATTTTATATCTTATTCCATTTACGAACAAACTTATTATTGTGGCTATACAATCAGTTAACATTTTCCTCCGGTTTATACAATTGTCAGTTGTTTAATCGGTTTTTAAACCGAATTCAAAAAAAGGAGGAGGTTCTCAATTCGACATTTTTGTATGTATGTCACGCGATACGGCATTGGTGAACCGATTTACGATTACGATGATTCTTTTTTTTGTTGGAAAGAGGGTACCTCAGTATTGGTCCCATTGAAATATGAAGCAAGAAGATTTGCAAACTAGGGGACGAACCCAGTTTCGCGCACTGTCCGGTAACCGATTACAATAAAACTTAGCAAATAGATGTAATTCCACGAATTTTTGAGGTCGGTTCTTTTGGTACTCTATACTGAGATTATTATTAGTGAGAATTTATTAGAAAGCACCCTCCATAACTTTAGTAGCAGCAGAGCTACTTTTGAAAGAATTCGTCCATGCAAATACTGCAAATCATACCTATTTCTGCCGCAAAGGAGTAGTGCGAGCATTACTGAATTCCAAGTTTAAAGGGATAAGGGATCTGGTGAAACTACAGGCACTTGGGACTTGTCAACTTAGTGCCTCAGAGTGATGAGTGCAGTGGAATTGCATGACACTGCAACTGTTATTGATAGGCGTGTCGCTTTCCACCAGATATACGACTAGCATTGATTTGATTAAAAAAAAAATTTTTTTAATATTAAGTGACGGGACGAACAAGTCGTGCACATAATGGTAAGCTACACTCCTGTCCATAACAGTTGCAGTGCCACTCAGAGCTTTGAATCGCAAAGATCTGAGGGGCACTGTCACTGCGCCCTGTCACCTTGAGACGTAAGTTGACAAGTCCCATGTGCCTGTAATTTCACCAGCACCCTTACCCTTCAAAAGCGCAACACAGTAATGCTAACATTACTGCTTGGCGGCATAAATAGATAAGGTGGCAGCACTTCCCTAGACGAACTCTTTCACAACGAGCTAGTAGAGCTAACAATATTAATATGACGAAATAGAAAGATTTTTTTATTTTTCTTGTTAAGGTGCAACTAGTGATGGTTGGCAGTCAGCTCAGCATATTTATCTTTATTTCTGGCGTTGGGCGGCACTCGCTATCCCAGTCCACACTCGTATGTTCCTCAGCCACGATTCATTCCTATAACCAGGTTTCCTTTTACCAGCGACTTTTCCCATCATTATCAGTTGCAGAAGCTCGTACCTGTCATGCCTAAGTACATGGCCCAGATATGCAACTTTTTGCAAAAGTGTACGCTTCTGTCCAACTAGTCGCAGAACTTCGTCATTGGTGACTTTTTGAGTCCATGAGAAGTGCAACATTCTTCTGTGGGCCCACATTTTACATGCTGAGATGCTCTTTTATTGTCTTGTAGGAAGTATTGGCCAGATGTAACACTGAAGAAGTTAAGATAATTAACAAAATATATTTAAGAAAATACTAACGAAATAAAACTTGCATCTCTTTTCCATATTACATAGAAATTCGTCCAAATATGTCCAATACTCATGTCATGTTATATTTTTTAATCTATTTTCTTTGTTTACAAAAAGTCTTACTTTTTTTCGAATCACGTCAGTTTATTCTTGAAACGAAACGGCCAGTATGAAATTTGGTATAATTCCATAGTTATTGCAATGTAAACAATCTTTTTTAGACGAAAAATAGGCGTCTTCACACAATACTCGCCTTACAAACCTATGGATTGGAACCTAAGGATGCACGTTACGATTCCATTATTATGAAGATCGATTCAAGACCGCAGTCTAACGATTAATTTCAATGCGATTTCCAATGATACCCATTCAATAAAAAGAACAAATCGAATCGTCCAAATGAGAAAACAATAAAACATTTTGTAATAATACCGTTACATTTAAACAAAACTCGATTTACAAGAAATGTTTAGTTGTACACATAGTTTTTGCCTTCGATTTCGGGCATTACTGGGTTTTAACCCGATTTAAAACCGGCGTTAACAAAGCGACGGACTAATACCCGGGCGCTTTGTCTCTGATCGCTACCGCTCGAACCGACTCACTACATGGACAAGAAGCTTTTCAGGTCAGCTTTAAGCTCAATTTATATTGCGGCGGAACGGAATGCAAAAATCACGTCTCCGGAAGATTTTGCCTCGTATTTAGTTTGTAAGTTGCACAATTGACCACAAAGTTCATTATGCTATGTACAATATCGTTACAAAAATTCGCTTCCATTCCGTTCTGCCGCAATATAAATTGAACATAATGCGATTACTTATTGTGATTTCTTTAGAAACTGGTGTAAACAGCAACGTGGTAATCAGCTGATTTTCAACTAGGGATTCCCTGTAATATAACTATCAGAGTTAGCGAAGTTAAAACTATTGTATAG